GCACCCTCGGAGCTCCAGAGCCACGGGATGTATCCACCCTCACCCCAAACAACCAGGAATCACAGAATTCCAGGCTGGTTTGGGGCGGGAAAAGACCTTAAAAACAATCTCATTCATGGCAGGGACACCTTCCACTCTCCCAGCTGGGCTCCGAGCCCCATCCAACCTCGCCTTGAACACTTCCAGAGATGGGGCAGACACAAATTCCCTGGAAAACCTGTGCCAGGGCCTCAGCACCCTCACGGGGAAGAATTTCTCCCCAGAATCCCACCTAACGTGCCTGGGGAGGCTCTGCTGGGAGCTGGGGGGAGGTCACATCCTCCCGGCCGGAGCGGAGCTGATGTCACCGCCTCTTCCTGCCCCGAGCAGATGACAAACACGGGACTTTCCAGACCCCGAATCGGAATTCCTCCCTGCTTATGGATGGCCGAGCTCTTGTAGAGCCTTATCTCGGGCTCTCCCTGCTCCAAAAACACCGTCTGGGCATGAAAGAAGGGGAGAAATCCCACCTGGAAAAAGAAGCACCGGGCAGTGGGAGTGTCTGCATCCCAATCTTCAGTAGGAGCTGGAAAAGTGGGGCTCCAGGGGGAAAATCTTCCTGCCCAAGCCCTGAGAGGACTTGTCCCCACTCAGGGGAGGGGGAAAGGGGACCCTGATCTGTGTGCCTGGAGAATCTCAAACATGGGGGGGGCACAAGCCTCTGCCGGGGATAAAACAGCAAAAAAAGGGGATTTTTGGGGAATCCCCAGTGAGGATCTGCCCCAGGAGCTTTCCCAGTCGCTCCTGGAAGATTCCAGATGAGTGTCAAACCTCTGTGTCCCAGTGATCCCGCAGAACTGAGTGTTCCCTGCCTCCAGCCAAACCCTACAGACCTTCCCCTCCACCCCCAACCCGCTGCTGTGGTTTAGGAACCAACCCGGAGCCTCCAATCCTGGAAATCCTGGCCGTGGGACAAGCAGTGGCTTTCCAGGAGCCATCCCAGTCCCACAGTCCCTCGTTCTGCAGCTGGGAGCTGTTCCCAACGTTCCCTGCACACAAACAACGGGAGGAAATGCCTTTTCCACCCCAGCTCCCGACCGCACACCCGGGACACTCTGTCCCCACGCTCCAGCCACTGTGGATCCCTTCCCAGCCCTCTCTGCCCCTCCCAGCCGGGAATTTGCTGGAAGGGACCATATATGGTGAAAACCAGGGAGCAAACAGCCCGGAGAGGCTGCGGGGGCTGTCGGTGCCCCCCGGCTCGCCGGCGATCCCGGCTCAGTGCCGGTGTTCCAAGAGCCGGGACAAAGGCCAGGCTGTCACGGGAACAGAGTGGCTTCTCCTGGCAACCGATCCCGGTGACCTGGAGCAGAAAAACACGGATCTTATCAGCGCCGGGCGCTGTGCCGGCGAAAACAAGTCTGTGCCATGCCCAGTTCCTTCCCCGGGACCCACCCAGAGCCCAGTGAGTCACCTCAGGGCCCCAGTTTCTCGCTCCGTGGCTTTGGAAGTGGGTTATGCCTGGGAAAAAGTGTTAGTCACACCGGCCCGGCCATCTCTCGCCCCCGGCCAGGAACTCTGGGAAAAGCCACGGATCCAATTGCTCTCCCCATCCACTCCCCCTCAGCAGTGGGGGATCCTCCAAGCACCAGGAGGGAAAGCAGCTGGGAGGGGGGTGAATGCCTTAAACAGCAGTTTAGTGGGAGCAGGAGGTTGTCCTCGCCCAGAATTCCTGGTGGTTTCCCCTCCTGATTCCCTTGTTTTTGAAGGACATTGAGAAATGTGGCCTTTTTAAGAGCAAAACTCCTGCAGCGTTCCCGACCTCCCCAGATCCATCCAGGGGTGTTGCTGATGCAGGAAAACCTCCTGGAGCAAACCTGAGCCCCTTCTCCTGAGCAAGGGAATTCCAGCAACAGCAGGGAGGAGGGAGGGCCTGCCATGGGATGGGGGTTAGGGGGGGAAAGGTCAGCGCTGACTGACAGGTCTGGAGGAATTCGGAGAGGATTTGGGCTGTGGAACGTGCCTTGGATCATATCCTTGGCAATTTCCTTGGCACTGGGCTTCGAGGCCCTTTGGCTTTGCTGGAATGTGTCCGAGCAGCCCAAGGTCGGGTTCCCTTGGAAAGGTGGACACCCACGGGAACCGGAGAGCAAACACGGCTCCGACGGGAACGCCGATCCAAGGGGTCAAATATCCCACGGCTGGCAAGGCTAAAAAAACCCCCCCCACCTTTTGCCAAACCAGAGCAAATCCTTAGTTCTCCGTTAATCCAGCGTCTTTTTTTTCCCAGCGGGAGACAAGGGGGGACAGGGGGGAAAAGGTGCAATTCCTCCATTCCGCCCCAAACCCCGGAATAATTCCCTCCCAAGGAGGAATTCTGTCCTGCGGTTTGGCAGGAGAGCAGTTTATGCCCCACGGTTTATCCGGTGCTTTATCGGTTTATACGATCAGGTGTGAATTAACTCCGGGGGAAGGAGGGGATGGAAGGGCAGGAAAAGCGCC